TCTATGTTTTCAAATGTGTTGGAGTATAGTTTTTCATAGTACTCTGTTATAATCCTTTTTATTTCAGTTAGGTCTGTTGTAATGTCCCCGACTTCATTTCTTATTTGGGCTGTTTGCTTCCTCTCCTGTTTTTCTTTTGTCAATTTGGCCATTTTTTGTTGATTTTGTTGATCCTTCCAAAGAATCAACTTTTGGTTTTGTTGTTTCTCTCATTTTTCTATTCTCTATTTTATTTATTTCTGCCCTGTTCTTTAATATTTCTTTTCTTTGGTGGCTATGGGCTTGTTTTAATGTTCTTCTGTTTCTAATTTGTTTGAGCTGTAGAGTTAACGTTTGAATTTTGTCCCTTTCTTCTTTTTTGATGTATGCATTGCTATAAATTGACCTCTGAGCACTGCCTTTGTTGTGTCCAAAGGTTTTGGTATGATGTGTTTTCATTCTTCCTTGATTCTAGGAATTTTTTGATTCCATCTTTGATTTCTTCTATTACCTAGTAGTTTTTAACCAAGGTGTTACTCAGTTTCCATGTATTTGATTTTTTTTCCTTGCTCTTCCTGTTGTTAATTTCTACTTTTATGGCATTGTGATTAGAGAAGAAGCTTTGTATTATCTCAGTGTTTTGGATTTTTGTTGAGGGTTGCTTTGTGGCCTAAGATGTGGTCTATTCTGGAGAACATTCCATATGCGTTGGAAAAGAATGTATAATTTACTGCTGTTGGGTGGAGTGTTCTACATATGTTTATGAGGTCAAGTTGGCTGATTGTGGCCTTTGTATCTTCTATATCTTTGTTGAGTTTCTTTATAGATGTTCTGTCCTTTACCAAGAGTGGTGTGTTGAAGTCTTCTATAATTATTGTGGAACTGTTAATTTCTCTTTTCAGTGACGTTAGAGTGTATGTATTTTGGAGACCTGTCACTGGGTGCGTAGATATTTATTATGGTTATGTCCTTATGGTGGGTTGTCCCTTTAATCATTATATAATGTCTTTCCTTGTCTTTTATGGTGGAATTTGTTTTAAAGTCTATTTTATCTGAGATTAGTATTACCACTCCTGCTTTTTTTGGTCGCTATTTTCTCGATACTTATTTTTTTCCATACTTTGATTTTTAATGTATTTATGTCTTTGTTTCTAAGGTGTGTCTCCTGCAGATAGCATGTTGATTGGTCCTATTTTTTATCCTTCCTGTCACTCTCTTTATGGGTGCATTTAAGCCATTTACATTCAGTGTGATTATCAATAGGTGTGAGTTTACTGCTGTCATTTTGTAGTGCTTTTTTTGTGGTGATGTTTTCTTTGTTCTTTTTTTAAATTGTGCTTCAGGTGAAAGTTTACAGCTTAAGTTAACTTCTCATTCAAAAATTTATGCACATATTGTTTTGTGACATTGGTTGCAATCCCCACAATCTGACAGCATGCTCTCCATTTCCACCCCCGCTGTGTCCATTCGTGTCCATTCATCCAGTTCCTGTCCCTTCCTGCCTTCTCATCCTGCCTTCAGACAGGAGCTGCCCATTTGGTCTCATATATTTGATTGAACCAGAAGCACGTTCCTCACGCGTATCTTTTGTTTGTTTTATAGGCCTCTCTAACCTTTCTCTGAAAAGTGGACTTTGGGAATGGTTTCAGTTCTAGGTGAGCACAGCGTTTGGGGACCATAGTTTCAGGAGTTTCTCTAGACTGTCAGACCATTAAGTCTGGTCTTTTTATGTGAATTTGAATTCTGTTCTACATTTTTCTCCTGTTCTATCCTGGACTCTCTGTCATGATCTCTGGCAGGGCGGTGGCTGGTGGTAGCCGGGCACCATCTAGTTCCTCTGGTCTCAGGCTGGTAGTCTCTGGTTCACGTGGTCCTTTAGTCTTTTGGGCTTGTGTCTTTGGTTTGCTTCTCCTGGCTCCAGGTGGGATGGGACCAATAGATGTTATCTTAGACGGCTGCCAGCAAGCTTTTCTGAACCCAGACGCTACTCACCAAAGTGGGATGTAGAACATTTTCTTTATAAACTGTTATGCTAATTGTTCCTCTTACTCTCCTGTGCTGAATTCCTTTTGTTTGTGGACTTTTTTCCATTTCTTTCATTTTTGTAGATTTTGTGTTTACTGAGACTTTTGTTTTTCTTCTTTGATTAGTAGGTTTGTTAACTTTCTTTGTGGCTACCTTGAAATTTACCCCATCTTCCTAAACCAGTCTTTCATTACTTGATGGCACCTTGACTTCCTCTCCATTTGAAAGTTCTATACTTACAGCATTTATTCCCTCTTTTATTGTTCTGACATTGTTGTCATTTACAGATTTACCTCTCTGGTTCCCTGTTGTAAATCTTTTAGTTTTGTTTTATCCTTGAGAGGTCATTACCTAGGTTGGTATCTGGCTGATGCTGTCCTGTGTCCTAGAATCAGGTTGTTGTCTAATGTTGTTTTCTAACCGAAGGACTCCCTTTAGTAATTCTTGTCAGTTTGGTTTGGTATTTATATATTCCCTTAATTTCTGTGTATCTGGAAATGTCCTAATTTCATATCTGAGCGAGAATTTTGCAGAATATATTATTCTCGCCTGGAAATTTTTTTCTTTCAAGGTTTTGTCATCCCATTGCTTTCTTGCCTGCATGGATTCTGCAGAGTAATCAGAGCTTAGTCTTATTGTTTCCCCTCTGTACGTAACTTTTCGTTTTTCTCAAGCTGCTCTCAGGATTCTTTGTGTTTGGTTTTGGCAAGTGTGGTATGTCTTGATGACTTTCTTTTGGGGTTTGTTGAGCTTCTTGGACAGTCAGCTTTTCATCTTTCATGAAATTAGATAAATTTTGTCAGCAAATTAAAAGTACCTCTTTATGACTTTTTTTTTCCCCATTCTTTACTTTTGTCCTTTCTATTAAAGAGTACGGTGAGCCCTGGTGGTATAGTGGTTAAGAACCCATCAGTTCAAATCCACCAGCTGCTCCTCGGAAACCCTACGGGGCAGTTCTACTCTGTCCTATAGGGTCGCTATGAGTCAGAATTGACTCAATATGACTCTTCCCTGAAACTCAACGAAGTGAAAATAAAAGTAATTTTATCTCTAACTTGATTTAGGGATGAGCACATTGTAGCCCAGATTCTGGGTTCAATGAAGGAAACATGGACTACTATTTGGCCTTTCTGTCAGTCCCCTGGAAACATCTACTCATAGGGCCTCCCTTTATTTGACCTTACTTGGAAAGATCTCAAATCAATAACCTCATCTTACCCTCCCACACCCCCCCAAAAAAAAACCTAGAACAAGAGCAAACTAAACCAAAGCAAGCAGAAGGAATGAAATGATAAAGATTAGTGTAGAAATACATGAAATAGAGAACAGAAACATACAGAAAATCAACAAAACTAAAAGTTGGTTCTTGAAAATAACAACAAAGTTAACAATACTTTAGCTAGATTAACCAAGAAAAAAAAGAGAAGACTCAAATGACTAAAATCAGGAATGAAAGGGCACATTACTAATGACTTTATAGAAATAAATATTTTAAGAGATGACCATGAACAATTGTATGCTAACAAATTAGATAACCTAAACAAAATGGTGAAATTCTTAGAAAGACACAAACTACTGAAACCAACTCAGAAATAGAAAATCTGAACAGACCTGTTAACAACTGAATAAATTAGTAATCAAAAACTCCCACACAGAAAGGCCCAGACCCAGGTGGTTTACTAGTTAGTCTACCAAGCTTTTACAGAATAACAACTTCACAAACCCTTCAAAAATGGGAAGGAACACTTCCAATTTCATCCTATGATGCCAGTATTACCCTCATACCAAAACCAAAGATATCAGAAGAAAACTATTTATTATATTTATAGTGGATAGAATTGTGTCCTCCAAAAAAATATGCTCGTTTTAACCACTGGTACCTGTGAGTTTGACCTTATTTGGAAATAGCATCTTTGCAGATGTAATCAAGTTGAGGTCATACTGGACTGTTGTTGGGTGCTGTCAATTCCAACTCATGGCAACCCCATTTTGCTGAGGGAAGTTCAGTGAGTCTGACACCATGCCACCTCTTCCCATAGACTGAATCCACTGATCCTACTTCCAGCTCTTCAGGTTACAAATGACAAGCCTAATTCCTTTCTTGAGTCTTTAAGAATCAAAGAACATCAATCATATCCCAGGGACCTCCTTTATTCACGCTTCCCCATATTCCTCCCATTCCCAACACATTTCTTCTCCAAACAAGACATTCCCAGGTCTTTTATCTATTACCCATGCAGTGGTTCTAAGTCTCCAACTTCCAGATCAGCTTCATATCTGAGCATCTTCCTTTAAATATGGTGTCCAGACGGAAACATTCCAGGTATGCACAGACTTCAGCAGGAATTTCATCAACCACCTCTTTCTATATTCTTTGCTACTTGGAGATCAAATATACTGCAAACAACATGGGCTCTGAAATAGGAAGTAGTACTCCTTAATAGTGGTCACTCAGCCGAAATGTTATGCAAATACTAAACATCAGAGCTGATTTTCACCCTCACAAAGAATCTTAAGATTAATAAATTTTTTTTTTCAATTAAGAGAAGGGCATAACAAAGAATAACCTTAACCTCCTTTTTATTATCTTTTAGTCCAGCTTTATGCAGTAATTTATATGTTAAAGAATTCAAGTTTACTGAATGAAAGTCATTGCTTATGATTTAGAAATCAAAGCAAGTAAGTTGACGAAGGGGTAGCATTTAGTGAATTAAATATGTATTTCTTTATATTTGTAAATGACATAAATCTATACTTCAACTAAAAAAGAAACTGCTTGCATTAGGTCACCACAAGCAGATTACATACATCAAGTAATAGAAAAACACCAGAAAGTTTCTATGTGATCCCAAAGAGACATGCCCTTTCCTTGATCATAAGAGAACCAAGTATTTTTAGAAGTTAAAACTTGAGTTTACAGAAGTGGAAAACACCGAAACACTTTAAGTGAAAATTCTTTATTTTAAGGGGAAAAAAAAAAAAAAAAAAAACGGTACATTTTCTATTCTTCGTATAAGTTTTAATTCTTTCCAGTGGAACCAAAACCTCCTGAACCTCTTTTGGTGTCATCCAAAACCTAGAAGATATAAAAGTGGTAAGCCACATACTGTAGTTAATTTTAGAGCCTCTTTCAGTTCCGTTTTTCAACTACTAACTTATAATACTTTTATTCTTGCTATACCATCTTTTCAAAAGAAAGACTACAAAAAGAAGAAACTTACATTTTTTTTAAAAAGCTTCGTAAATTGGAATGTCTGATTATTTTCAAAAGACGTAAAGAAATATTAGAATTTTAAAGTATATTTCAATTATTTATTATCCAAAGTAACACTATATAATATCTACATAAAAAACATTTAAAGAAATTCTAAAACTAAGATTTTAATTTTGCTTAAAATAGGACTAGGCATATATACTATTTATAAATAGCATATTAAATCCTCAAAGTTGTATTTTTTTCTTCACTTACAATCATTCATTCCCTACCCAGCTTTTGATACTTACTTGAACTTCCTCTATTTCTGGATAAAAAATTCGTTCACAAATGAGCTGCGCAATTCGATCACCCTTTTTGACTTTAGAGGAAAAAAAACAAAGTTTATTAGTGATATTTTATTGATGCATTATCTATATCCTGCCTTGTTGAGATTTAGGAGTCAGTCTATTATTACACACAGATAACAGAAAATTCACTACATTCATGTGAGCAGCATATGTACTTAACGTACCTTCAAACTTTTCTTTGCCAAAATTAAACAGCACAATACCAACGTTTCCTCTATAATCTTCATCTATGACACCAGCTGGAGAAAAGGAAAATAAAATTAGCTTTATTTACGCTACCAGAACACCGTTGCTGTTATGAGTCTTCGAGTTGCTTCCAACTCATAGCGACCCTATAGGGCAGCAGAGTACAACTGCACATAGGGTTTCTAAGGCTGTAATTTTACGGAAGCAGACTGCCACATCTTTTTCCTATGAAATGGCTGGTGGGTTCAAACTGCAGTTTTCGGTTAGCAGCCGGGTGCTTAACCACTATGCCACTAGGGCTCCTTAGACCAGAACTCTAGAGGTATAAAATTACCTCAAAATCATTTTTATGTAGCTCTGAAATTTTTATCCTTACAATTGAATAGCAGTGAATCTTGCTCTGGTACTATGTAGAAGTTTCAAAACTAGGAAATGATATTACTAAAACTCAAGTAATAATTTCATAAATGGTTCCAATTGTCTAACTTGTCACCCCTATTAAATGGTGCCTATTTCCCACTCCAAGCTGGGTACAGGCGATTCCATCTCAAAGTGGTCGCCCTGAACTGTGCTCTCCAATCCCACTGTCTACCTGCTGCAAATCTGCCACAAAGACTAGGAGAAAATGATGTGTGTTTTAGAGGCTTTTCCTGCTAGCAAAGCTCTTTCCCTTCCAGCTTCTCTCAAATTTCCAGATTGAAACATGACTGAGTCATGAATAAAAACGTCAAAAAGTCTGAAGATCTGTAGTGGAGTTAGTCAACACTGACATTGCTAAGCAGTGTTCCTGCAAGTATCACAAACATTCCATTTTTACAATAAAAATGGAGCTAAATTTTTCAGGTCATATTCTACTTCTCCTTTTAATCTGAACCACCATCTTTTCCTACAGCATGATCTCCCAGGGGCCATTAGCACGTGGAACCACGTGTAACTGGCAGCTGTTTGACATTATAAACACAAGGGCAGCAAGGCGCTGCCAGGGCCTGGAAAGCTTTATTTACCAGACTCGCTAGTATTATCTTTGGGCCAAGAATCTGAAAAGTTTCCATAAACATAATCACAGACAATATAGGTATATCATTTTTTAAAAATATTGAGATATAATTCATATACCATAGAATTCAACCAATTAAAGTATACTGTAGGGTATTTTCTAAGTTTTTATCCCTCCAATTGCTGTTTTGCTGTTGAGCTGATTCCAACTCATGGAGACCTCATGTGTCTGAGTACAACTGCTCCATAAGGTTTTCAAGGCCGTGACCTTTCACAAGCAGATCGCCAGGCCTTTCTTCCGAGGCATCTCTAAGTGGGTTCAAACTGCCAGCCTTTTGGCTAGTAGTCAAGTGTTTAACCATTTTTGCCACTCTGGCACCGCTCATATATTCCTAAGTGTACCTTTTCAATTTTCTTACATAGGAAAAAAAAGCAAACTTGAAAAAAAATTCCACTATGGAGGAAAATACTCAGAAAAACCAACAATTTAGATTTTTTCCATTGGACTGCAGTAGAGGTTTAAATGAACCCCTGTGCTGTGACTGAGTTACTAGGCACAAGTGAACCAAATTGAATTAAAGCACTTTTTAAAAAGTTCTTGACACAACCCTTTCACGAGTTTGAATTAAAGATAAACAAATGGTTAACAGTAAGGAGAAGGGTGAGTGTCAAAGTGGGCTGCAAGGCAGCTGAGCAGTTCATCTCATGTCTAGACTGAAGGTAACAGTCTATTCTCTTCTGGTTGTAAAGCAACAAAACTGACCAATTCAAAGAATACAGAACTGTGGTTTCTTTCCCCGGTTCCAGATGACCATTAATTTAGTCCTTAATATTTCTGAAAAGAATTGATGTAAAGGTGGAATTAGCTGTTTTCCATATTATCTACATGAAAAAGTTTTGACTGAAGGAATGACTTAGATCAGATTTAATGAAGCAACCCCTCAGTAGAGCACATTATTCCATGCTGGAACAAATGACCACAGAAGACCGCAGAAACCCCACGCTGGGAGATTCTGAAGTACAGGCTAATACTCACCTATCCAGGTGAGTCAGATAAAGACAACATGATCTGACTGACCTGAGATCTTTTGTTTCTATTTTATTAGAAAAGCTTTAAATTACCTAAACAATACAAATACATATAAAGGTAAAAGCTAATGATGTTCCCCTACCCACTCTGAGGTTAGAGTAACACACTTCACATACCACTTTGCTATTTTTCTGATTAAAACATCATGGACATCCTTTCAGGTTAATAAATATAAATCTTAATCATTCCTTTTAAATCCATAATATGGAAACACAGTGCCATTATTTCTACATAACTATTCTCTTACATATTATCAGACATTCATGTTGCTTTCACATTTTTGCTATAATAAAGCAGTCCTTTGCACATATCATGGCCTATTAGTGCTTTTTATTCTTATCAAATGTGTGTATTTTAAATTTTAATGGATATTGGTTGATAACTTTGCAAGACAAGTGTAGCAATTCAAACTTCCATCAGCGATATTTGAGAATTTTCATTTCTAAAATCCCTGCCAGGACCAGATGGTAGCAATCTTTTTAATTCTGGCCAATGTGATGAGTGAAAAATGGTATCTCACTGCTTTACTTTGCATTTCCCTGACCACGAGGGAGGCTGGATTTTCCCTCATATATATATTAGACATTTGTATGTCCTCATCTGTATTTTCTTTATGATGCATTTTTCCCTTGTCTGTTTGGGTCTTTAACTCTTTTGCATATGAGTTACAAGTATTTGATTTTTGACTTTATGGTATCTTCTACCATACAAAAACACTTCCTTTTTGTAAAGGCCTTTGCTACATATTTGTAAAATAGTCCTGTTAGGAGCACTCATGTGGTTAGGTATCTTCTGTGGAACCAGGTGATCTAACGAGGTTTTCTAGTTTATGCTGGGGGCGCAAGAATGTGAGAAACCTTTAACTGTCTGAAAGAAAGAAACCTATTTGAAGCCAATTTAAAATACATGGTGGAAAAATAAAAGGCCCTCAACTAATGCTTTTTTTTTTTTAGCATGAATGCAACAGTATAAAAATTTAATAGTTCCAAGTTCAATAGTGCCCAACTGCCATTTTGACTTTCAAGAAAAACCCAAGACTTATTCTATTTCTACATAAGGGGTATAAACATCAGGGATATTTCTCTTCATGAGAAAGCTGAAAGTATCTGAAGTTATCACTGGAAAAATCATGCATTGGAATTGGCAGAGTGGTTAACTGACTTCAGGCAAAAGTTTTACTGTGTCAAGCCTTTGGCATGTCATTTGTTGGAAACCTACTTTACTGAAAACTATCCACACCTACCAGATGTGAATTCTGAACGGAATCCTGCATACTCAACTTTTCCCTCTGACCCTTATTTACAGCCTGGGACTTCTAACAACATCTCTCTTCAGAAAAATTGTGGCCAACTATGATAAACTTGTGCCTAAGAGACATTTTTAAGATACTCTGCATCCAAAACACACCACAATGTGATTTTATGAATAACATCATACCAACCGCCAAACAAACTAACTTTCCATTTCTTTTACATGAATTCTTTTCAAAGGATTGTTTTAAACAGAGAAAAAATTAGTAACAAAGGTTAAAAAGTTTCCACATATAAAAATCTGTGAAATCTCTAAGGGAACAGGAATTATAATTTACTGGGCCTACTATGTGCCAAGCACTGTGTTAGATGCTTTACATAGGTTACCATTTATCCTCACACCCTTCAGAAGCAGGCATACTATGTCTGTTTTACAGATAAGGAAACTGAGGCTCAGAAAGCTTATGTAACAACTATCTAGCTAGTGACAGAGCTGAAATCCTCAAATGCAGTAGTTCCTCCAAAACCTATTACTACTTTCATTATCCTGTGAAATTTCCTTACAAACATATGGTGTTGTTAGGTGCCACCAAGTTGCTTCCAACTCATAGCAACCATATGTACAACAGAATGAAACACTGCCTGGTCCTGCACCATTCTCACAATCATTGCTGTGTTTGAGCCCATTGTTGCAGCCACTGTGTCAATCCATCTCCTCAGAGATCTTTCTCTTTTTCACTGATCCCTCTACCTTACCAAGCATGAGGTCCTTCCCCAGGGACTGCTCCCTCCTGATAACATGCCCAAAGTAAGGGAGACGAAGTCTCACCATCCTCACTTCCAAGGAGCATTCTCGCTGTACTTCTTCTAAGACAGGCTTGTTCGTTCTTCTGGCAGTCCACTATTCTTCACCAACACCATAATTCAAAGGCATATATACACTCTTTTATATCCTTAAGCTATAGTCCCTATTACCATACTTGAGCTTGTAAAAGTACTTCTGAGAGAACAGGACACAAGGAAAAGATTAGTCCGAAGGACTAATGGACCACAGCTACCAAGGCCTCCACCAGGCTGAGTCCAGTACAGCTAGATGGTGCCCAGCTACCACCACTGACTACTCTGACCAGGATCACAACAGAGGGTTCTGGACAGAGCTGAAGAAGGATGTAGAACAAAATTCTAACTGACAAAAAAAAGACCAGACTTACTGGCCTAAAGGAGACTGGAGAAATCCCAAGAGTATGGCCCCGAGACACCCTTTTAGCTCAGTGGTGCAAGTCATTTCCAAGGTTCACCGTTCAGCCGGGGAGTGGACAGCCCCATAAAACCAAATGGGACTAATGAGGCACAGCAGTCCAGGGACAAGGGCCAGAAGGCAGAAGGGGACAGGAAAGCTGGTGATAGGGAACCCAAGGTTGAGTAAGGATAGTGTTGATGTGTTGTGAGGTTGTTAACCATTGTCATAGGGCAACATGTGTATTAACTGTTAAATGAGAAACTATTTTGTTCTGTAAGACTTCATCTAAAGTGAGAATAGCAGCACAACTGGAAGAGCGTCATTGATGTCACTGAACTGTGCATGTAGAAATTTTTGAAATGGTGTATCTTTGGCTATGTATATTTTCACCAAAAAAAAGGTCGAGAAGTTAAGAGGGTTGACATGTTGTGGGGTTGTTAACCAATGTCATAAAACAATATGTGTACTACTGTTTCATGAGAAACTACTTGTTCTGTAAACCTTCACCTGAAGTACAATAAAAAAAAGAGTACTTCTGAAAATCAAGTGTAACTTAAAGAGCCCACGGTATTCTCAACCTGGGAGTCAGGTGTCAATCTCTGCTCTGTAAAACTCAGTCCCAAAGACCTACCTTTGGGCTCCTCTCTTACCCTACAGCACCACCTAGTGGCAGATACCAACCAAACCAAACCGAACCGGTTGCCGTCAAGTCATGATGACACTATAGGACAGAGGAGAACTGCCCCAAAGAGTTTCCAAAACGCAGCTGAGGGATTCAGACTGCCGACCTGTTGGTTAGCAGCCACAGCTCTTAACCACTGCGCCACCAGGGAGACACCAGGCCCTTCTGGAAAGGTAGACTGGGGGCAGGCCTGAGACAAGCCAGGGAAGAGGCCTCATCATGCGCTGAACCCCTGCAGTGGCACTCGACAGTGAGCTAATTCACGATGGTGCTTGTTAGCGAGGGGGATACCAGGTGCGGTCAAGTCGATTCTGACCCATACTGCCCCAGAGGTTCCATGGCTCTAAATCTTTACAGAAGCCGACTGCCACATCCTTCTCCCCCAGGGTGGCTGGGAGGTTCAAACCACCAACCTTTCAGTTAGCAGCTGAGCACTTAACCACTGTGCCACCAGGGCTCCTTGGTAGGGGGAAAGAACAAGGGTTTGGAATTATATGGATCAAGACTCCAGTTTCTACTAGTTGCGTCAACTTGAGCTCCCCTCTGAGCGAGACTGATCATCTGCTAAAAGCGTGAACAGGGTTGTTTTGAGGATTAGACAACATAAATACAGCACCTGCTGCACAATGGGCCGTCAAATAGTACTTACAGTCACGCGCCGCACAACATCTGTTCAGGTAACGTCCAACTGCATATACATCTGTGCTCCCATGTGCATCCTCCAGAGCATGCCCACAGCCCAACTCGGCAGCGAGCCCACCCTGACCCCCCTACTCTCCAAGGGAACAGGTGCCCATTCCTGCTCCCGAGCGCCCAAGATTGGCAGGCATTGTGGGACTTGGCCAGGGTTGCTGGGTCAGCTCCCTGCTGCCCTGGCCCACGCCTGGAGCCTCCCCGCCATGACCTTCACAGGGCTGCAGGGCCACGTGCCAGGAGCTGCCCAGGCCACACACTGCACAGCAGCTCCCGGGGCCCCTACACTGGGGTGTTTGCACAACATCCAAATGACATACTGTCCTATTTCACAGAAGGTATCATGGATGTTAAGTGAAGCATGACTGTATTTATACTGTCTTATTTTAGAAAGGCCTCTCAATAGAGCAGCTTTATAAAAATGGTGGGAGTGGGCAGACCTAGCATTACCACTTATCCAGGCCAAGGTGTTTAGTTAGTAGTCACTCACTATCAATGGAAAATAAAGGATCAGGACATGGAGACCCTCTCAGTGGGGTCCGTACCCCAGTAAGGAGAAAATTCAAAGTAGGGGACCACATCAGGAGGGTGAGAACTCCCTTTCAGGGAGGGGGTGATAGAGATCCTATAGCAAGGGCAGCTAGCAGAGGAGCCTGGAGCTCCTTCGTGAAACGGGGCACAGGAGGAAGTTCCTGGCTAGGAGACATGAATAAGGCTTGTTATGAGGGAAACGGGTGCCACTGAGGACTTTCTTGGCAAGAAATTTAGAGATAGGGAGGCACAGTGTTTTCTCTCCAGGCTTGAGGGCAAGATTCTCTTTTTATATTTTGCCAAATGTGGATGGTTCTCTTATGGAGGTAAGAAAATCATCATTCACTACAAGACAGACCTGTGCTTTCTAGAATCTTTTGCTTAAACCATTACTTACAGCATAAAAGCTTTTCTTCCCTTTGCAATAACAAGCTTTCCCCCAAAATTAGTGATTTTTGGATTAAATGCAGATTATCACTGAACAAAGGCAAAAATCCTGTGTCAGATACTGCCTAGTTAACTTATTAGTAAAATAACACGCATTTCACATAACTGTCATTTAAAAATTAAACATATAATATTTGAAACTATATCAATTATCTGTTCCTTCAGATATGGAAATTACCATTTCCTTTTCTTGAAGATAAACGTAAAAATAATCTGTCATTTGAATACCACCTGTTAAGCAAAGACATAATAAATACGTACAGATATTTACAGAACAAAAATGCAAATGTTTTACCTCCTACGTCTATGAAGTGTTTTGCAGCCAAACCAGAACGTGGAGCTAAAAAAAAAAAAAAAAAGAAAAAGGCTGTTTTAAGGGGAGGGACACTATTGGACATGACACAATTTAAGCACATCACTCTCATCTCCTATACTGTCTTCACACTGACTTTAGCAGACGATTCTGAATTTTTATTTTAAAATTTATTTATTTATTTTGGTGAAAATATACACAACATACACCAGTTCAACAATTTCTACATGTACAATTCAGTGACATTGGTTACATTCTTCAAGTTCTGCCATCTTTCGCCATAAACTTTCCGAACTATTTCACCATCATTAACACAAACTCACTGCCCCTTAAGCTTCTCATCTATCCTTTTAAGTTGCTGTTGTCAATTTGATTCCATATAGATAGTTCTTTAAGAGTATACTGCTTAATGCAGACATTCTTTCAAATTAGACTAAACTATGTTTTGGTTCAAAGATAACTTCAGCGGGTAGTTTTGGTTCAAGGTTTAGATTTCCTCAGGGTAATAGTTTTGGGGCATCATCTTGCCTCAATGGTTCCAGAGTTTGGGTTCCATAAGAATTTAAAATTCTGTTCCATATTTCTCTCCTTTGATCAGGGCTCTTTTATAGAATCCTTGATCTTAATGTTCAGTATTGGTAGTCAGGTACCATCCAGTTCTTCTGGTCTCATGGCAAAGGAGGCAGTTAGTTGTTCACGGAGGTGACTGGACACCTACTCCATTTCCTCCACTGATTCCTGACTCTCCTTCTTCCTCTGGTGCTCCAAGTAAATGCAGCCCAATTGCTGTACCTTGAATGGCCACTCCAAGGCTTTTAAGGCCCCAGGCACTATACAATGAACTAGGAGGTGGAACAGAAGCACGAAAATTGACAGAAGGCCAATTGACTGGAATGTCCCTCAAAACCATAATCCTAAGCCTCTGAACCAAGAAAACAAAGTGCTTGGTTGTATGTAGACAGTATCAGCAGCTGTTTTTTTTTTTTTTAAATTCTGAATTAAAGAATGTATCTACCGTACTGCATCACCAAAGTATGAAAGAATAGTTTAGAAACAGCCAACAAAGTTTTAAACTGAAAAGACGTTAAAATTAATTCAAAACCAGTTTAAACCACTCCCATGTGATGTAAGCCAATTGAGGGTCTATGAGGGTGCACTCGTGGGCGCTGGACTGCTGGAATGAACGAAAAGGTGAGCAGGCAGGGCAACTGGAGACAACTCTTTCAGAAAGTCTGGTGGCCACAAAGGGAAAGAAAGAGGCTGAGGCTGGCAGGCACACAGGACTGAGGAAGAGGACTTTCGTTTTAAGATGGGAGACCTGAAACAGAATGCAAAGCAGATGGGAAGGAGGGAGGGAAGGAGAGATAAGAGGAGGAAAAGGAGGAGGGGAAGGAGGGAGAGAAAGATGGGGGAGAGACAGGGAAACATAGAGAGCACACAAACGTTTAACTGAACAGTAGCAGAGCTTAGCCTAAACTAGGGATTCCTACTCAAGATTCAGAAGCCAAAAGACACATCCGCATGAAACAAAGGAATCAGAGTGAGATAAAAAGCCTAATATAAATCAAAATGCCAAAAACTAAACCTCAACTATTCAATCCCAGTATGCTTTTTATTCTTAAAATGAAAAAATAGAAAAGCTAAGTTTATACCTTATACTTACTGACTTTAGCCTCAGGCCCTATTAATTATCCTAACTTCTAGTATTTTATTCCAGAATTATTTAAAGCAGGTACTCTTTCAATAAATGCTGCCCATTCCTGCCTTGCCGTTTATCTACTCCATTTGTGAACTCCCCCCCCCCACCACACAAAGCTGTAAAAATGAGTCAGTGCTGCCAAAATGAGATGAGCAAGGCCATTGTTTTCTTTTAAAGGCTGACGCATGAGCAGTTCTCACTCATGGCTAACAAGACGGTGGTCATCTAGGTCCCCCCTCCAGCACTCGATGGGAGCCAGAGTTCCATCTACTGCTTTATGTTTACTTTGAGGTTAGTCAGAAAGTAATTATACTCTTGAAAAGTTCTCTGCAGTGACAACTGACTTGCTCCAGAAGGACTTGCACTCCATTCTGTCCTAACTCCTCCTGCTATGGGGCATTTCCCTCCAGCATGCTGAAGAGTCTCCCCACCCTAACACATCCCATGAGGAGTGTGCCCAGTAGAAACGTTCAGTGGCTGGAGTACTTTGGGAACAATACAGGGCAGGCGTTTTACTCTCATTATATAAGAGGGCCATGCGTCATCATCCTAAGCCTTTCTCTCTCATATAACACATATTAACCACTCTCATCACTCTCTTCACAAAATCTAGTCTCATGAGATCTGATCCTCAAAGGGGGAGTTGGCAGTTACACTGGAAAAAGTTCCAGTTAAAAATCACCTATATTTTCAGTTTTTATCACAATGAGGAGTTGTGAGAACAGCCTCTTAGGCCAATGGGAGCTTCCTAAGTCTCAAGTAAGGAGTAAGAAATAAAAGGGCAGAAAAACACAGAGGCAAAAGCAGATATGCAAATGAAAGTTTCCAACCAGCTGCATCTGCCATCACAGAAGGCTCCTCTTTATTTTAGGAAGTAGGTTAAGTAATATTGCTGCGCTCATTTATACACCAACTGAAACTAAGATTATGGGACGTACTGCAAAGGAAAAACAAAAGCACACCAAACCCAGTGCTATCAAGTCAGTTCTGTTACAGAGTAGAACTTAGCTCCATACAGTTTCCCTGGCTGTAATCTTTCCAGAAAATCGCCAGGCCTTTCTTCTGCAGCGCTGCTGTTTCTTAAACCACTTACCCACTCTTCCATAACACCCAGAAGGAAGGGCGACCTGAATGTCCGTTTTCACAAGGGCTTTCTCCATGGGTGGAATTGTGTAATCATAGGCACTAAGATTTTGAAAGAAAATAATCTCATTTACTCATAACATTGTTTTTATAATTTTCTTGTGACCAAGCATACAAAATTTCCTTAAAGATATTTTGTAAAATAATCATATAATAATTCATGCAAACTTGGATCTCTATAACTAATCTTGCTAAGATTTCAGAGCACTAAATTCCCAATTCATCTTAAAAAAAAGTCTTTGAAGAAGGTAGAGGCAGATATTTTCTTCTGGGTTATTATTAAAATCATGACAGCTTTACAAATAATTCTCTGTGAATTTTTTTAGTGTGGGTAAGAGGTGTCAACATGTTCTCCTCTAAATAAAATTTTTTGGGGGAAGTGAGGTACATACTAGAAGGAGACAGAAAGGCAGACCTTAAGGTGTATACTTCACTAACATAAAAAGAGGATGAAGAAAAGACCAAGAAAGAAGAATAAATAACAGCTAACAATTGTTAATATTTATTAAACTTACTCCATGCCAGGCAGTTGTAACGTCTTTATATATTTAACTCTCACTTCATTGACACATCTATATACTCATATAGTCTTATCTCGTTTAATTCTCACAACAATCCTCTATGAAATTAGGGGTAAAATTGATGGAAAAAACAAGGGGGAAGGGCAGAGCTGTGTTGCATCTGTTCTGCTTGGCTTGGCTGTCTACCAAGCTGTGTCCATGAACATCACTGGATGAGGGACAGAGCTGATGATCATGACTTCCCCTGGAGACAGACATTGCTGAGGGACTGATCCTCTAAGGTCCCCCTAGCAAATGCTGCTACTGTTGCTATTACTGTAACCTCCTTCTCCGATAGAATTTAAGAAACTTTAACAATGAGCAAAACTGGAAGTTATTTTGGAGATTAGGAGATTCTAATTTAGCCTGTTAAAGCAGTACTAGATTTTCACTCCTTTCACTGGAATTCCCTCTCTTTAAATAGCTAAATTCTCTAATTTATTAAAGAGAACAGTTATTCCCAGGGCGATCCCAGTACACAGAAAGTTACCTACGTGTTTATTAGGAGGATGCTTAAAGTACCTGAAATCAAAGTCTCTCCCAGAACTCACAACAGCGCTCAGACATAGCCTTTGGAAGGTCTAGCCAAACAAACTACATCACTCTACTTACTACCTGTTGCCTTGGAGTCAATTTTGACTCAGAGAGGTGCTATAGGACAGAGTAGAACTGCCCCATAGAGTTTCCAAGGAGGACTGGTGGATTCCAACTGCCGACCTTTTGGTTAGCAGCTGTAGCTCTTAACCACGACGCCACCAAGGTTTCCTTGCCTGTTGCTATGATGCTGAACAGGTTTCAGCGGAGCTTCCAGACTAGGACAGAGTAGGAAGAAAGGTCTGGTAGTCTACTTTTGAAAAATCAGCCAATGAAAACCCTATGGACCACAACAGTCTGACCCTCTTGCACATGAGGTCACCATGAGTAGGGGTGACTCACTGCTGCTAACAACGGTTCTAAGAACTGGGTACAGCAGTCAAAGCAGGACAAAAACACTGAATTCAGGGTCAAAAATTTGACAACATTCAAGCCCTTGGATAAATCAATTCAGCTCTTAGCAAAGTCCCTCTTCTGTTAAAAGTAAGCAAAATTCATCTACTTCAGGAATGTTGTGAGGATTAAATAAAATAGCATATGGGAAAGATTGTAATATTGGTAAAAAGTGCTATACAAACGAAGGGTGCTAATATTACTGACATCCCTGCTTTTCATGTTCGGCCCGTTTCTGAAATTCCCAGTCCCTGGCTAGCACTTAAATATGGACACGGGAAATGTTTACTAATCCTTTCAAGGCGGAAGCAGTCTTCAGTAATCCTTCTTTGGTATTTTCATACTCTGCACCTAGGCTCACATCGGGACTTTTCTATTCAGCACAGCGTCGTCCTCAGTCACTCCCTGAGGACCAAGAACAGCCTCATTCATCTCGACCCTACACTTGCAATGGGTACAGTAAGTGTTGCAGAACAAATAACCCCTCGTGGACATTTTATAGAATATTTACCATCTCCAAATTCTTTATCCAGATCCCTACTTAATTTATGCAGAATGCTAAAATTTTCAAGATTAAAAAAGGGCAGAAAACCTACATATATGCAGAAAGGGTTTATTTGTTTGCTTCTATAACCTTTTAACTGATGTTTCAAGCTGTAGTAGCAGATTGCCTGGAGCTCTCTAACTCGGGAAATGGGCCTCCTTTGCAGAGGGCCGGGGTGGGAGGCGAAGGCGGCTCCTCTCAGCCTCCTCGCCCGGGCCGACGTTCCCCGGGGGCACGGAGGCCCCACTCACCTGTACAGGTCATAGCCCGCCGCCCGCGCCGACCCCCGGGTCGGGGCTGTGGCGTGCTCTGAGAGCCGGGCAAAGCGGAGCCGCGGGCCGCCGTCCTCCGCAGGATGGGCCCGCTTGCTGGGAGGGATGGCAGATGTCTCTTCGGAGCAGGGCATGGCAGTGCAGAGAGAGAGCAAGGCAGATGCGCCAACGGGAGAGCAGGATGAAAGTAGCAGCAGTGAACACGCCAAAATCTGAATTCCCCGCCAGCTCCTCCCAGCCCCTCTCCCCGGACGAGCCCACAGTCATGACTGCAAGGGGAGGCAAGCTTCACATTTTGGACCGGGAGCACTTCCCAGAAAGCAGGCTCGGGGTCGGAAACTACTGAGCCGTTTTAACTTTCCAAACTGAAGGCTAGGGTTCAATATACGGGGCAGCTTCAGTACCCTCGCCCACACAAAATAGAAAGCCACCCGTCGACACCCATCAGAGGGCTCGAGTGGACTCGCTCCCGCGCAGTCCGGGGCTGCGCAACCACCCACTGTCCTACCGCCCGGAGCCAAGGGCTTCCTCATGGAGCGCGGCCCGAGCGCCCGCTGGTCTCAGACCCGGGCAGGGCAGGGAGGCAGCCGGACGGGCTCCCGGCACCCCCAGCCTTAGAACGCGCGTCCTTCCAGCCCAGGCCCCTGATTTACGGGATCCGTTGCAGCCTCGAATTACGCGGCGAGCGCTGTATACCCGCCGGAGCAGCATGGCGCCTGCGCGGCCGGGCCTAGCCCGACCGTCCGCCACTTCGGCTCCCGCACCCACGCTCTGCGCGCCTTTAAACACCGGCGGGGCCTAGCCGGACCGTTCGCAGCTTCGGCTGCCGCCCCGGCGCTCCGCGCGTCTTTAGACACCAGGCGAGCTAGAGAGCGGGAGGAGAAGGTGGCCCGTGGCGGGGAAGGGGCAGAGAGGGGGGTCATTTCCCCCTAAACTCTGCTGACGGCCGGCGCATCAGCTCCTCCAGACGCTCGCCGGGCCTGCACCCTAAAGGCGCGTCGGGTAAAATGACCTCGGAAGCAGTAGCCGCCGCCGTCTGACGAGGGGCGCGGGGAGGCGGCGCGTCGGCCGCCTTGGGACTGGCGCCGACCCTGGGCCGCCAAGAGCACGGTGCTATTGTGCTTCCACTTCTCTCCCCCACTCCTGCCGTTTATTTCCCTCGCCCCTGGTTTTCCGACAGCAGCCGAGGCCCAGGCTTGGACGATTACTTACTTGGGGCGATCCCGCCCCCAGCCATGGCGTCCGAGGCTGTGCTCTCCGAAACCGCAAAGGTGGCGGAGCCACATCACAGTGCTGTGCGCGTCACGCGCCCAGGCTGTGGTCGAGGCAGCGTGCTCGGTTTTCTTACACTAGAGTGCAGGACTGTATAGTGTTTACCTTAAGGCGTGCGGGGGGTGTCTTCAGGAATATCGCAGGTACAGCACAGTTCAAATCCTGGCACTGCGGTTGTGGGTGACCCCACAAAAGCACAGAGGGGGACTTCATGGCTATAATTGCAGCAGTGATCCTCGGCCACGGTGGTGTAATTTACACTGAGGATGAATAACTTTAGATAATTGCAAATGGAGTCCAGGATACAAGTATCTCCAGTTATCTCCGAAACTGACGCAAAAATCTGAAAAATAAATGTAATACACATTAATTGTCAAAATAAATTGCAGCTATTATAGGGCAGCTTTAGAATACTACAGGGTACTTTGGGGAAGTTTTCAGACTTCCTTGCTGTGCCTTTCCTTACCCGTTAAAAAACCCATTGCCGTCCTGTCGGTTCTGAGTCATAGCGACGTTATAGGACAGAGTAGAACTGCCTCCTAGGGTTTCTGTCTCCTTTACTGGCTCCTCTTCCATTCCCTTTAAATGTTGGAATTACTTTGGACGAGGTTTTGGGATATAGTCTTTATTTGCACTCCCTCCGTGGCTTTAAATACTATCTATATCCTGAGGACTCACCAGATTTATACCTACAGCAGCATGCTCTGGGCCCTGCTACTTCTACAACCTCGTCTTGAGCCATCTTGCTCACCTCCGGTACTTCTGGCCACACTGGCTTTCTTACAGTTTCTAGATCCACTGGACCCACTCCAGCCTCGGTGGAGCCTTTACACATCCTTGGTTTTAGCTTTATGTCTTTTCAGATCTCAGCTCATCTCAAAGAGGACTTTCCTGACAAAGTTAAGTAGCTGCCCTGTCTTCCCCTCACCCCCACTTTTCTATCACAGTATGAAGCTTTTTGTTTGTTTTTGTGTTCACACCACTTACTACTACAATCTGTATTTCTTTTATACATTTATTTTCTTCTTTATTGCCTATTTGCTCTAGTAGACATAGCTCCATGAGGCAGAGATCATGTATGGCTTCCTTCATCGTATTCCTGGTGCCAAGCTCTGCCCCTGGCTCAGAATGCTGTCTGATAAATATTTGTTATATGAATAAATGATAGTAATCTTGTTATCTATTCCAGCAGGTCGCTGTATGTTATCACTTCTTAAAGCCTGTTGATTTTTCTGTCCACTCATTTAATTTTCAATCAAAGAATTTTTCGATATAAAGCAAAGCCCACAATGATACCCAGCAGTCTCTACCCTACCGCCCCCCCCAGCCTCCAAGCCTTGCTTCAGAGGCAGCACTTCAACTTTCAGTTTTCTTAACTCTTTCTACTGGAGCTGACATCTCTGTTTCTAAATTGTATGGTGCTTTTTTTTTTTCCTAATCAGGATAGAAGTTATCTTCTAAATTAGGGTAGTTGAAGATCGAAGTCTCTTACACTTCCCCTACCCCATTCTGCCAATATTTTTCTATCAATTTCTGGATAAATCAGTAGTTAATATTTACATTATTATGACTAGGTGAATAATCATTCCCTGTTGAGATCAGTAAGGTGACATGATTGCTTCCTTTTTGCACCTGTCCCCTTTAAATTAATAATTGCCTTGTTTCTCCATTTGTTTTTGTTGAGGGTAGTGTTTTTAATTTACCTCTGGCCTGTTTTTCCCAAGTGCTCCAGTGTTCCAGTGCCTCAAGCCTTTATCCCATCAAATGAAACACCAAAACACATAAATTTCGTCTCTTATGAGTTCCGTTTTCCCCCAGAACCTTCCTCCCTCCTCCATTCTCTTGTTCCAGTCTGTGCCTTCCTGGGACTTCCTTTTGCCCCTCTCCTGTATTCGAGCCCGGGTTTTATGGATCTGGTTTCTTCCTCTTTCTTAGTTTACTCCCTAATTTTGCTGAAACACTTGCTCTAGTAATTTCTTAAGAAAGTTCACATGGGAGATCAATTATTTGGCTCTTTGTATATCCCAGAATGTAATGATTGTAATGACTTCTCAAATCCAGATAAAAAAATCCAACTTCATTCATAAAATTCCTTACAACTTGGTAATGATCTCTGCCTCCTCTAATCTCCTATAACACTTACTCTATCGTTTATTAGTCACTTAGCCATATACTCCCATTGTATAATCTCATGTATACACCTTTTATCTTTCACAGTAATAAGAGTCATAAACTTTTATGACTCCTTCAAAGCACTTCAGTGTTCTGCACAAACACGTTTTGATACCTAGCACAAAGAAGGTATTCTGCTCTTTCATCTGTTACTCTGGGTACAGAAAGTGTTTATTTATTATTGTCACTTTTCATCTGTGGTTATTTTAGACTAAAAAGAGAAAAGGCCATTGTCCAACTGGGAAAAAGTAACAGGTTAGGGTTCTAAACCAATAACCATTTAATAGGACATTCCTTTTCGACAATTGAAATATAACTTGATGTGAACACTGAACATACACTTTAAATTCAAGATACTACAGGTAAGAACTACCGGACATATTCTAACCATAGTTTATTTCAGGCTGTCGTCTTTATCCGCATATAGTTATTCTGTCAGCCATGCCGATTACTAATTCAACTACATAAGTCTAGTGCAAGTTGGTACTTTACAAGCAAAGTTGTATTTCTTACCTTTGTCATTATAGGGATCTCCCCCCCACACCCCTTTAACAAAGAGTTAGATGCTGCTTACTTTATGCGAAGTATATCTTAAGGGCTTTACAAATATTAACTCATTTAAACACAACCACCACAGGAATCAAGTGTTATTATATTCCCATTTTACAGAGGAAGAAACAAAGCACAGAGAAGTTAAATAACTTATCCAAGATCACACAGTTCACTACTAGAAAGGGTTGCAGCCAGGTTCCAACTTCAGGTAGCCTGACTTCACAGAGTCCTTGCACTTAGCCACCATGCTATAGAGCACAGTAGTAGCTACATGCAAGGACTTACTGTTCAAGATAAAAAACCTTAGAGTCTTATTGCCTCCTTTCTCTCCTTCTCTCAGGTCTTCCCTTATCTAAAAATAATTCCTCTTAGGCACCACCTACTGCTTTATCCTATCTGATTTTTCTTCATAGCATGTATTGCTACATAATTTAAATTACATATTCATTTCATTTGTTAGTTGTATCTTTCTTCCACTAGCATGTTAGCTCCATGATGAATTGAAATCTACTGTCCTAATTTGGGTTCTTTTCAGATGTTCTATGTTTCTTTTTATCCCTCCTTGTCTTCTTTTGAATTTACTAAATTTTTATGATTTCGCTTTTTCCATCTACTACTTTGGGAAATTTTCTCTCTGGTTCTACTACTTTAGATAAATTAAAACATGCTTTCATAATTCATCACTGTCTAAAATCTAAATTTAACCAAAACTTTTCTCCTGGAAACACAAAGGTCTTAGAATGCTTTAACTCCATTAACCATTCTCTTTGACATATATGCTTTTATTGTCTAGTATTTTAAGCGTTATCTTTTAATCTCAACATGCATTATTATTATTGTTTTTTATAGTCACTTTTTATTTTAACGTTTACTCACACTTTTATCATCTTCTTTGCTCTTTTTTCTGCATCTCAGACCTCTGTCTGGGATTACTGTCCTTCTGCCCAAGCCTCCTGTAGAGAAGTTTTCCAGTAGACGAACATTCTCAGTTTTTGTCAGTTTGAACAAAATTCTTGAACTGTTCCTCAAGAAGAGTGCATTCTTAACAATAGCTCAGGAACACAAGAGGTGAGAATGTTAATTGAAAATTGTCAGCATTCCCAATAGCTGCACAATTCCACTGTATCTGAATTCAGAACCTTCCAACTTGGGCCAGAATACTTCATTTATCATACCACAGTTTACCTGTAAAAGAAATATGTTCAAGCTAAGGAAATATGGAAGCCATACTTTGGGTTCTGGCACCAAAATTTATTGGTGTTCTGTGTTTCAAGCCATGGCTTTTACACCATGGGATTAAAGCACCAGGATAAGATTCAAGGTGGATGAGAAGTATGTCTATCTTTTTTAAAAGGGCAATTGCAATACGGGAGATGGGAAAGAAGAAGTAATATATGAGCAGACTGAGTTCAGTAAGAAGGTACGGATGTATGTTGACTATCTTGAAGTTCATTCTTTTAGGGGAGATGGGAAAGAAGAACTAGTATATGAGCAGATCAATTTCAGTAAGAAGGCACAGATGTATGTCAACTACCTGGCAGTTCATTCTTTTAAGCCTATATGGTACAGAATACCATAAAGATATCTCCTAGAACGTATGTTCCCTCAGGAGTATACATAGCCAAATTTTAAAACACTGAACTAGTGTTTAACTTGTGAAACCCACGAGAGTGTTCCTGCCAGGCTCTTGAGAAGAACACAACAATCAGATAAATGCATGTAGATTTTCAATTTCATCAGAGCAGCACAGGGATCATAAGCATACAAGTAGCTCAGTAGATTGACACTAAAGTTGAGTGGCAGTTAAATAAACAAGCGAGGAACTGGAAGATAATAAAACAAACATTTATTGCCATAAAACTAATTTGGACTAGCTCACAAACTGCTCTCTCATCATACTGCAGAGGTTCAAGGGGATCAGGATACTTAACACAGAAACTGAATACCCAATCTCTCTTAACTAGCATAGTCATCGTGAAAAACTGACTCTGAATTATGCCAGTGTGTGTAGAAATACCAGAAGA